TCAACACGAATCGGCCCAGAATCGGGTGAAGTCTGTGAACTCAATTTTGACCGGACTATTCATCGTGGCAGGTATGTCGTGTCGCTTCCCTTGCGTGACCCTGAGCACCATGGTTCTGACTTAGCGTCTTCACGATCCTTGGCTCTGGCCCAATTCCTGCGTAATGAGCAGCCCCTGAAAAGGGATCCGCCCCTAAAGGCCTGATATGACGCGGTGATTCAGGAGTACCTTGACATGGGGCACATGACCGAAGTTTCTCCGACTAGCCACTCCGCAACTTACTACCTTCCGCACCGAGCGGTTCTCAAACCCGAAAGTACGACCACCAAGGTGCGGGTGGTCTTTAACGCATCAAGCTCTTCCACAAACGGGACTAGCCTGAATGATATTCTTTATGCAGGCCCAGTCTTACAGTCCGACCTAACCATTCAGATCCTAAAGTGGCGGTATTTTAAGTTTGTTTTTAATGCTGACATCAAGAAAATGTATCGCCAAATTTGGATAGATCCGAAATACACTCCTCTCCAACGTATCCTCTTTCGCAATCCCGATGGGGACATCCAAGACTGCGAGTTAAGTACTGTCACCTTTGGAGTCAATTGCGCCCCTTTCCTAGCGATCCGTGTCCTGCAACAGCTCGCCGACGTCGAAGCGTCGAGGTTTCCGCGGGCCAGTCAAATTATCCGGCGTTTTATGTATGTCGACGACATTCTTGCGGGAGCCGACTCCAAAGCCGAGACGAAGCTTGCAATCCGCGAGCTGGAGGGGGCCCTGGGTTCGGCAGGGTTCCCACTTCGAAAATGAACCTCCAATAGCAAGACGATACTGGCGGGCAATAAGAGCTGATTTCCTGGAAATAGACGCAGAGAGCACGGCCAAGACTCTTGGGGTGCGATGGAAGGCGACAACGGACGAGTTTTTATTCATTCCGCCAGAGTTGACCTCAGAGCCGGTATTCACGAAGCGCCAGGTCCTTTCCCAGATTGCAATATTGTTCGACCTAGCAGGCTGGCTAGCCCCCTTTATTGTCCGGGCGAAGATGTTCATCCAGGACCTTTGGCTCCAGGATTTTAGGTGGGACGACGTCCTTCACCAAGATTTCTCTCAACGATGGGTTGACTTCCTAGAGAATTACTCCGCGCTCGACCAAGTCCGCATTCCTTGATGGCTAGCGTTCCGCCCTCATTTAAAAATCGAGCACCACGGTTTCTGCGACGCTTCGCAGAAGGCGTATGGCGCCGCCATCTACGTTCGCGTGGAGGTCGAGTCCACGATAATGACAAGCCTGCTAACGGCAAAGACACGAGTGTCCCCAGTCAAAACGGTGTCGCTCCCTCGGTTGGAGTTGTGCGGAGCTCTGTTGTTATCCGAAATGGCCATTGCCGTGCTTCCTGAACTGCCAGGGCCGGCGTTCACCCTACACTGTTGGACAGACTCGAGGATTGTCCTCGCCTGGTTGCGCAGACCGGCGTGACATTGGACGACATTCATAGCCAATCGGGTGACCAAGATAACCCAGCTTACCGAGGCGGATCTCGCCAGCCGGGGGGTAAAGCTTCAAGATCTCGCGGACAGTCAGCTGTGGTGGCATGGATCTCTCTGGTTGACGAAGCCGCGTTGCGAGTGGCCGAGTCAAAGCAATAAAATCTAACAATAACTGAAAATATCTTGTCCTAGATCTAACACACGAGGACGTGTGATTTGTCATGAAGGCCGTGCCGTAGAATGGTAAATTGGCGCACTGTATTTGTGTGGCAAAGAATGGTTAGTTTGACCATTGTGCAGGCATGTACATTTTGTGGAATTCTCATTCTTAACTTTAAGTTGCTAATTTACTTGGTGTTGTTGTTCTTCCACGATGTCGATGCCAAAGTTTCGCAAACTGACCCTTTGCTTATTACTCCCCCTCTGTCCAATTTGCTTTCCGATTACTATATTGTATCTAACAACAGACTTTTACTAAAGGTTTTACCTTAGATTATTTTTATTAACTGCGCAGCTCAATTTAATTGGCTTGGCCTCTTATTTGATGATATAACGGATTTGTCCATGTCCGGGCTAGCTGTCCGAGTCGTGGCTTCTTAACTCTGCCCACTTACACGCGTAACAGTAAGATTAAAATTGAACGTTTGACAACTTTGAAACTGCACAAACACCATCGGTGATGGAGCTCTTCTGCGTCCGTCCCTTCCTTAGCAGCCTGCTTGCGGAATTAATTTTTTTGCAGCTGCTCCTAAATAGCACCTACACACTCATATTTAATCTGACACCATTCTTTAGGAACGAGACACCCTCTATATTTGTTTTTGTTACGTTTCCTGGGCCGCCGCTTATCAGCGGAATCAATTCAAGCTTCTCGCATCTGCACCTGTCAGAGAGCTTGTACTTTTCCATGAACTTCTAACTGTAACTTGTTTAAGTCTTCGACCAAACTTGTCGTATGATGTGTGAGCTTTTCGGTAACTATGAGGACTGGAAACATTTTTCGGATATGTTTTCTGGATCGATCGTTTGTAATCCGGGCCTTGCCGATTGCCAACGATTTCATTTTTTAAAATCGAACCTTTTCGGAGAAGCGCTCATATTAGTTAGACATTTTCCTGTTACTAAGGAAAACTATCGTGAAGCATGGGATCGCCTAGAACAGCGTTATAACAAACAATCGCTAATTATCAGGTCATTTCTAAACAGTTTTATGACTCTTTTGAGTGCAACAAACTCTAACATCACCACAGTGCGTAAATTTGGCGATGGCGCAGATGTAGTAATCGTGACTTGCGCGCTCTAAACTGCGAAGAGCGGGATTCCTGGCTAATTTTCATATTATCAAAGTTGGATTCGGATTCGCGTTACCCGCGAACGCGCACATTTTAAGTTGCGCTCTCGCCATTCGGACCAAGGTATCGAATTGGTCTTATTCATTCTTAACTCACTGACGTCATCACTCCCAGCCCAAGCTATCATCATCTTGTACGTGGAAGCACATTTGCGAGCTTTCTTTGGCAGATCCAACCTTCTGCACGACAGGATCCATCGATGTCATCGTGGGATCAGATCAGCTCTGGTCTCTCTATACTTGAGAACGAAAATATTTTGGTAATGACTTTCCTATTGCTCTGAATACTGTTTTTGGTTGGATTATTGCAGGCTCTTGCTATGCATGCGATGATCACTGGACTTCTGCAGTGACACACCACGCGGACTTAAATACGATGGTTTTGCTCATTCATGGAGATGAACAGTATATATCCAAGCTAGGCACTCCTGGACGCGAACGATCCCATCGAGCGTCATTTTTCCGTCCAGTACCATCCGTCAAAGCTTCGGGAGCACCGGATGTGGTGGAAATGTCCGTCTTGGTTGGCCGCACTGACTTCAGATTGATCAACCTAACACTCTGCATAACTTTCTTGATGAAAGTTTTAACGAGTTACTTATCCACAAATTCTCTACCTGGACTCGTCTAATAGGGGTATCTAATTACTGTTATAGCTTTATTCACACTTTTCGATCTCATCATGGGAATTCTTCATCATCAATCAAACTTCATATGCAACGGATACTTGGATCGAAGGCTCTTTACTGTTCAGACGCAAATTGAAGCTATTTTGAATTCCCGCCCACTGTTTTCCAATGGGGATACTTTCTTGACTGGAGCGCCATACACTGCACTACCTGTACCTTGCCGTCTGGACACGCAAATCAATCGATTATAGAGGAGGAATCAGCTTCAAGCCATGGTCCAAGGGTTTCGGAAACGTTGGCATAAGGAATACCTGACATCGCTTCACGAACGTACCAATTGGCATCTAGAAACAGAGAATTTGAAGATCGACACACTGGTAGACCTCAAGGAACCTAATCTACCACCCTATAAATGGATCCTTGGGGGTATCACCGAGGTGCACCCAGAATTGCATGAAAAGGTCCGGGTCGTAAAGGTGAAAACTGCCCACGGTTCCTTTAAACGCCCAATTTTCAAGATTGCCTCTGTGGGGGGGGGGGGGGATAAGCTTGGGAAGGAGACACCCTCTTATTTGTTTTTGTTTCGTAGCTTGGTCCGCTGCTTATCAGCGGAATCAATTCGAGCTTCTCGCAGCTGCACCTGTCAGATAGCTTGTCTAGTACTTTCTATGAACTTCCAACTCCCAATTGTAACTTGTTTACATCTTCGACTAAACTTGTCGTATGCTGTGCGAGCTTATTTTAATGACATTTTTGCTCTCAATGCAATTCGAGTATCGAAAATTAACCAATACATACAATACAACAGCAACACTAGCGAATTCGTTTATATACAACTATGGATCCCTTCTCCTTCTCATATCAATTATTCTACTCCATTTCTGTCATTTATTCATCAGTTTCCTTTCTTTTAATTTGCCCTTATCCTTAACGTTTGGTTTGCATTGCGTCTTTGGTTATATTTCATATATATGCAGACCCAAATTTTTCTTTTAATTAATTTATCAATAAAACCAATAACAAGAAAGGAAGCTAACATCGAAACGCCGAAGTTTGTATACCTTTGCAGATTGAAATTCGATCACTATGAATTAATACAACATAAGATATATATATTTCTGTTTAAAAAAAAACTATATAATTAATACTGTTATTAAACTTTATAATTATTTTCTCAAAATTTTCCGATTGTTCCTATGGCAGCTAAATTATATAGACGTCCCATCTGGCCCGTTACGACAAGTATATACAAGTAAGACTATATAGAAGGCTAACTGAAAAGTTTCATTTAGATAGCTTTAAAACTGAGACTAGTTTGCGTAGAAACGGACAGGTGGACGGACAGACTGAAATAGCTAGATCGACTCGGCTGTTTATCCTTATCAAAAATACATATATATACTTTATTTGTTCGAAGATGACTCCTTCACTGCGTAGCAAACTTCTGACTGAAATTATACTACCCTGCAAGGGTATAAACATAAACAAGATCAAACACGATTTATATGGTACCTAAGATTAAAATAGAAACTTACATTCCTTTAGATTATTTTGTATTGGAGTTCCAGTTAATATTATGCGTTTTGGGGTTTTTATTTTCGCAACGGCAAGGCTAATGGCAGATTTGCTGTTTTTAATAATGTGACCTTCATCACAAACTACTATATCGGCACCTTAAAACAAATAAGACATTAAAAAATATTTTATAATTTATTATATAAATATACAGGTCTTACCAGGCTGTAGGAGATATTTTTTTACTTTATCACGAATATTTTCTGATTTTGAAGTCGTCCCGGATCCTTTATATTTATATGAGTGATAAAATACAAGGGCTCGAAAAGCTTCATAGCCCAGTAGTAAGCAACCGGCTTTTTCTTTCGAAGATAACGACCATTCCTTAAGTACCCTCAGCTTTTCGGAAATATCACTAAAAATAAAGGCAAATATAGTTTACATTTTAAACCAATAAAATTCAGGAAATCCGTTTTGATAGACATGCCTGATTAGTGTGAATTGTACTATATATTTAATAATAAATCCCTGGAAATAGTGAATATATCTCGCTTGTCGTACATATAAAACAGTCAAACTTAATTAATTAATTTATTATTATTAATATTATTATTAAAACTATCTATATATATATAAACGTAACCCGTTTTTCGTTGTCGCCACATAACATGAAAACCAGAGCTCGCAAATAACTGTCGACCGTTTCTCGTTGTCTGCAAATAAGTGTCTTTTCCTGACACTTTACGAAAAAACTCAGAGAGCACTCACTCGCATAGGCAAGCAAGTCGTTAAGCGTCTGTATTGCGATCGTGAATTGAGTGTGTGTGAGTAAATGCAAAGACCGTTTGCGTTGAGTTTTTCGGTCAATCGGTCTTTTGCTGACTCTCATTGTGCGAGCGTTTCTCGTTTCGCTCTTTAGGCAATGCTCATTGAAAGAGCGACACACAAAGAGCTCAACGAAAAACGTTCAACAGAAAACATAAAAGAATACAGCAAGAGTCTCTTGCTCAGAGCGAGAGCGAGAGAGTATGAACTTTTTCGGTTGTGCTCGCAACGAGAGCGCAAGAAAAAAATCGGTCGACAGTTATTTGCGAGCTCTGATGAAAACGGCTTGACCGATTTGGCTGATTTTTTTGTAGTTTTTTTATACTCTATTACAGAAACATACATACATATATTAAGAAAATCCCTCAGAAAAATTGAAAAATATACATTTAATTTTGCATATTTAAAAAAACACTGGTAACGAATGTCAACGTCATCTGTAATCGGTAATCTGTGACACAATATACAGGGTGCGGCACGAAAACTCGCTGATTTGTTTCTGGCGCTAAGCGGCGGGTAGTGGTCGGGTAAGGGTGGGGAGTATCTCATGTTTTAGGGGACTTCCTGAAGTTTCGTCTACTCCGCAGTCAGTCGACATCATGCATTGGACGAAAGAGCAGCGTGCATTTGCCTGCGAGGCTTACTTTTCCAACGGTCGTTCCGTAATTGCCACTCAACTCAACATTCATTCTGCAGGTCGCGTTCCTGGCCGGCAGCCGACTGTTTCGTGGGTGAAAACATTCAGGGAGAGCGGGAATGTGACAAAATCCCATCCAGCTCATCGGAGAATAACATTCGGCAAGCAATCGCAAGGATACCCGTCGATATGCTTGAGAGAGTTCAGCTGAGCTTCGAAAATCGGGTATCTCAGTGCATTGATGTCCGATGTAATCTTCAAAACTGTGTAATGAAAACTTCAGCATGTGTGTTACAAGAATAAAAAAAAATTTGGAATGGTATGTCAACTACTTTTTTTTATAACCTTCTAAAATCACCAAGTTTTCTTGCCGCACCCTGTAGATAAGTGGTTATCTGAGACAACATATCCACCGCGCTAACAATAATTTTATTAGGTTTTTTTATTCGTTTTGAAGACTAAGAAGTTTTTTGTTTGCTAATAAGTGTTTGTTATGTTAATCACGGTAATATCGCTACACTTCATATCGATAAGTGTTTGTTAATCACGGTAAGTTAGCTTCACTTCATATCGATTTTTGGTAACTTTTGGCGACTACATAATATTACAATTAATAAAATAAATAAAGTGTAGGCATTGTCTCTAAGGTGGTAAGTTGAAATGTGTTAATTATGTGGATCGTGGATTTGAGGTTATAGTCCAAAAGGACGACGTGCGAACGGACATCATCATCAACAAGTATATTCACAAATCTTAAACGAAGAACTACAGTGATAATGAAATTTAGATATTGGACATATGACGACTATATGCCGATAGTGCAATGCGCTAAAGTTCAAAAGAGAAACGGCGGGACTGTGCTGAGCAAGTGGAAAAGTTAAACTAGCTCCATTAATTTTCAAATATAAAACAAAACAAAAAAATTGTTTCTTCAATTTATTAATTTATTAATTTATTAATTTATTAATTTATTAATTTATTAATTTATTAATTTATTAATTTATTAATTTATTAATTTATTAATTTATTAATTTATTAATTTATTAATTTATTAATTTATTAATTTTTATTAATTTATTAATTTATTAATTTATTAATTTATTAATTTATTAATTTATTAATTTATTATTTATTAATTTATTAATTTATTAATTTATTAATTTATTTTTATTTTATTAATTTATTAATTTATTAATTTATTAATTTATTAATTTATTAATTTATTAATTTATTAATTTATTAATTTATTAATTTATTAATTTATTAATTTATTAATTTATTAATTTATTAATTTATTAATTTATTAATTTATTAATTTATTAATTTATTAATTTATTAATTTATTAATTTTTTTTATTAATTTATTATTTTTAATTTATTAATTTATTAATTTATTAATTTATTAATTTATTAATTTATTAATTTATTAATTTATTAATTTATTAATTTATTAATTTATTAATTTATTAATTTATTAATTTATTAATTTATTAATTTATTAATTTATTAATTTATTAATTTATTAATTTATTAATTTATTAATTTATTAATTTATTAATTTATTAATTTATTAATTTATTAATTTATTAATTTATTAATTTATTAATTTATTAATTTATTAATTTATTAATTTATTAATTTATTAATTTATTAATTTATTAATTTATTAATTTATTAATTTATTAATTTATTATTTATTAATTTATTAATTTATTAATTTATTAATTTATTAATTTATTAATTTATTAATTTATTAATTTATTAATTTATTAATTTATTAATTTATTAATTTATTAATTTATTAATTTATTAATTTATTAATTTATTAATTTATTAATTTATTATTTATTAATTTATTAATTTATTAATTTATTAATTTATTAATTTATTAATTTATTAATTTATTAATTTATTAATTTATTAATTTATTAATTTATTAATTTATTAATTTATTAATTTATTAATTTATTAATTTATTAATTTATTAATTTATTAATTTATTAATTTATTAATTTATTAATTTATTAATTTATTAATTTATTAATTTATTAATTTATTAATTTATTAATTTATTAATTTATTAATTTATTAATTTATTAATTTATTAATTTATTAATTTATTAATTTATTAATTTATTAATTTATTAATTTATTAATTTATTAATTTATTAATTATTAATTTATTAATTTATTAATTTATTAATTTATTAATTTATTAATTTATTAATTTATTAATTTATTAATTTATTAATTTATTAATTTATTAATTTATTAATTTATTAATTTATTAATTTATTATTTATTAATTTATTATTTTTTTTTATTTATTAATTTATTAATTTATTAATTTATTAATTTATTAATTTATTAATTTATTAATTTATTAATTTATTAATTTATTAATTTATTAATTTATTAATTTATTAATTTATTAATTTATTAATTTATTATTTATTAATTTATTAATTTATTAATTTATTAATTTATTAATTTATTAATTTATTAATTTATTAATTTATTAATTTATTAATTTATTAATTTATTAATTTATTAATTTATTAATTTATTAATTATTAATTTATTAATTTATTAATTTATTAATTTATTAATTTATTAATTTATTAATTTATTAATTTATTAATTTATTAATTTATTAATTTATTATTTATTAATTTATTAATTTATTAATTTATTAATTTATTATTTATTTTATTAATTTATTAATTTATTAATTTATTAATTTATTAATTTATTAATTTATTAATTTATTAATTTATTAATTTTTATTAATTTATTAATTTATTAATTTATTAATTTATTAATTTATTAATTTATTAATTTATTAATTTAAATCTTTTGGAGATCTCTTCCTATATTATAAAGGGATTCCATAATAATTTTTAGACAGATGTAATCTATACTGATTTCAGAAAAGCATTTGACTCTGTTAACCATTCTCTCCCCGTTAAGAAACTCGATTTAATGGGTTTTCCCAGTGATCTTCTTAATTGGATCTCAAGTTATCTGAATGGCAGGACGCAAAAGGGCCTCTTTAATAATAATTTATCCAATGTTCTAAGGGTTACATCTGGCGTCCCGCAAGGAACCCATTTGGGACCTTATTGTTTACATTATTTATAAATGACCTGCCCAAAGTCTTGACAGTGCTTATGCTTATAAAAGGACGACGCCTGCCAGTCAGATTTACGAACAGACTTTAATAATTCGGCTAAACGTAAACATCTCTAAATGCAAGTAAATGACATTCTCTCATTCCATTCCCAAGCTTGCAACTTTCACGCTGAACTACTGCTCCTCGGAAAGAATTAAAGTTGATAATTTGGGCGACCGCTGGGGCCCTAAACTTGCCCTTAGTACGGTGTCCAGAGTAAACGGATCGAATAGGTTCAAAAAAAGTTTTTACCTTTCGCTCAATGCGGCTTTTATTGGGATGCAAACTAAAGATTGCCTTCTTACTCTAACTCTCCTAATTAACTTACCATTTATATCCGCACCGTATAATTATGCTTGGCATGAACGTTATCTATAACCTCATTCATGGTGATGTGGAAAGTGCTGACTATAGAAATTGTGGAAGGTAAAACCAAACGTTTTAATTCGTTCTTCTTTATTTCACTCGGCACAACTGAATGTTCGACTTATTTCTTTACATCTGCTTAACATAGGTTTATATAACATAGGCTTAACATACATGGGATTAACTTACATGACTCTCTGCTAGCCTACTACTAATCGGCCATCCTGACCATCTGAATCCCCTGATCCAGGTTTCTTTTGAAATAAACATTTTTTGTAACCATTTCTTCATTTTCTTATACATAGTAAGTTTATTGAATAATGGTTTCTTTATGACTTCGTTCATTTTCCTATCCAAGGTTTTATGTTTTGAGCACTCCAAATACCCCTGTATGGATTCCGAGAAACTTGAAAACCTTCAACATCCTTTAACAAGAACCTGTCATTACGAAGCACTTTATCTATTACATACGGCCCCTTATTCGTTGGGATTAACTTCCTAGCACCTCCCGTAGTACTTTCAAAATTTTTAACCATTACGTAATCTCCTATAGTATAATCCTTTTGCTTTTTCCTTGTTTTATCATAATATTTTTCGTTATACGCATGTGCTCGATTTTGATTATAAATAGCTAGTTTTCTGATTTTCTCTAAGCCCTCTACCTGTGTTGTATCATTAATTTCTTCAAATCTCTCCCTGAGCTCATCAATAATTTGACCTTTTTGCTCTACACCGAAGAGCATCTTGCTAGGAACTTGTTCAGTGTATAGTGTTATTGAGTGCATATTCTACTTGCTCGATTACATTGTCCCAGTGTATTCCATTTTCAGGTTCAGTTAATTTTGCTGTCATAGGTCCTAAGGTCCTATTTATGCGTTCCACTTGTCCATTTGCTTGTGGGGAACCTGTCGCTATCTTCAAATGTTTAATATTAGTGTTATTGAGTGCATATTCTACTTGCTCGATTACATTGTCCCAGTGTATTCCATTTTCAGGTTCAGTTAATTTTGCTGTCATAGGTCCTAAGGTCCTATTTATGCGTTCCACTTGTCCATTTGCTTGTGGGGAACCTGTCGCTATCTTCAAATGTTTAATATTTTTCCGTTACCGTTGTAAGTTGTGCGAATTCATTAGATGTGAACTGCCTCTATCAGAAACTATATCATACATTTCAGTTTGCTGTACGACCTGAAATAATCGGCAAAAGCTTTCAGAACTTCTTTTGTGCTTGTCGTCTTTGTTGTATATAATTTCGTGAACCCATATACTATTAAAAATATGTGATTATTTTCTCTTTCTGCTGCAACTGGTCCATAATGGTCGATGTGTAACAATTCAAAAGGCTTATCCCCTTTTGGAATGCTATGTAAGAAACCTTCTGATTTTCCAGAGTTTGGATAAAATGCTACACATTTTATGTGACTCTTGCATTTTTCTTTGACGTTCTTAAACCAATAACCCCTCGTAATCGCTTCTATCATTTTATCCCTGCCAATGTGCCCAGGCTCATTGTGGTATTTGTGCAAAACGTGACTTTCCATTTCTTCAGGGACAAAGACTAATAAACGGTCGTCATTAGTTTTCCTATAAACAACGCGATATTTCATTTCGAATAGTTTTTGCTGATTTCTTTCTAATTCTTTTTTTTTTTGACAGATTTTTGATTGACAGATTATAAGATTGTCTTCAAAACTAGTGGTTTCTACTACTAAAATGTTACATCTGCCCAAAGCCTCTACGTGTTGTATCTTTGTCCCGGATATATGGATGAGTTTTTGAAGTTCAAGTGCCCATCGTGGGATTCTGGGATATAGTTCGACTCTGTTCAAAGTAACCGTTGTAAGAGAATTGCAATCGATTATTTTGAAATGTCTGCCTTGCAAATAGATTCGAAATCTACGCAAGGCGTAGATAATGGCCAGAGTTTTCAGCTCAAAGCTGTGATACTTTGCTTCAGTCTCTGTACTTCGCTTAGAAAAATAGAACACGGAATGGAGTTTTCCATCTCCCTTTCTGTGCATCAACAACGCACCAAAGCCCATAGAACTTGCATCGCAATGAAATTCAACCTCGTCTTTGTGATTATAAATGGCTAAAACCGGTGCCTCTATAAGTTTTTTCTTAAGGTTTAAAAAACAGTTTAGCTCTCTTTCTTCAAAAGAAAATTCCTTGTCTTTTTTTAAAATATCGTAAAGTGGCTTAGCTAACGTAGAGTAATCGTTTATACATCTTTTAAACATAATCCTAAGAAACTTTGGACGTTGTGTACTTTTTCAGGAATTGGAAAATTTTTAATAGCATCAATACCCCTGTCATCAGCTCTGATTCCTTTTTTTATCAATGAAAAATCCCAGGTACTTTATACTGGATTGCATAAACTCACATTTGTCCATACGAAGTTCTAACTTGTTATTAACCAGTCTTATGAACACTTTTAATACGATCAAATGATCTTCCATGTTTGCGCTGGCTATCAATATATCATCCATGTATACGATGACTTTATTTTCACGTATTAAATCCGAAAAAATCATATTTACAAAGCGCTGGAATACTGCTGATGCGTTCTTGATGACCATGGGCAGCCTTAAAAATTCGAATTGTCCAAGGGGGTTGACAAATGATGTATATTTCACAAAATCTGCGCCAACGAATACGTGAAAATATCCATTTTTAAATCTAGTCTTGAAAATACCCTTTTATTCACTAATTTATCTAACAGGTCGTCTATTAAAGGCAACGGATAATTGTCCTTTATTTAGACTTTATTCAATTTTCGATAGTCGATGCATAAACGCAAATCTCTCTCACTGTTTCTTATTATGCCCATGTCTAAATATTCGTCTATTCTTCAGCTTCTGAAGCTGCTCCTTCTCACTAAAAGAAAGTCTTCTAGGTGAGCAACTGAAGAGTTTAGATTTGTCTAAACTAATTTTCACTTCGCATTTGGTAAAAGGGGCATCTGGTCTCTTTGCTTTGACATAAAATTCTTCGAACATTTTGACAAATTTACATTTTGTTTCATAGTTTTTTTTTTACACCCACAGCTGTAGTCTAAAAACTGATCATCGACTACGTTTATATTCAACATTTCGTTTTTAAAGTTGTCTGTTATAAGTTCTGCTCTTTCAATCTGCGGCATCTCATCACAGCCTTGAATGTTTCTTACATGTGGTTCACTTCCTACGTTCTTTCCGCTATCCGTTTCTTTTTCCGAAAATTTTCCTATAACGTTTATAAACTTTTTTGCTTGACAGTTTCATTTCCTAAAATTTTCTCTTCGTCACCTAACATTTTCTCTTTAACCGTTTCATCTCCTTACAGTTTATCTTTAACAGTTTTATCTCCTAACAGTTTCTCTTTAACAGTTTCATCTTCATTAATATTTTCGCTGGAATTGCAATTGGCTACTACGGCAGTTTCAAGTTGTTGATAATTTTCCTCCGAAAGTGAGTTCAAATCATAGGTGCCTTCTTTACCAATATTAATATATCCGTCAATACCAAGGATGCCTAGATTCATGCTCAAACCATAATGATCCCTAAAATCCCTTCTTAGGATTGCATCGTGTTTCATTGACTCATTGCCAACGACAATAATTTCCAATTTGATTTTTATTTTATCTCTTAAAACGTAACAGAAAGATTTTCCAAAAATTTCAAGCCGGCTCTTGTTTAAAACATGATAAATTTCGTTCATGTTTCCCAATAATACTTCAGATGGAATTTTGGACTGCTTAATGAAAAATTTCGCGCTTCCTGAGTCTATGAGGCATTCTGCAATAATGGGTTCAGTAAAATCAATAAAAAAAATTTTTAATCTTCTTACATAGTTGTTAACGTTGCTGCCGTTGTTACTTTTCTTTTGGCGGCATTCTCCTACGAAATGGCCCATCTCTCCGCAAGCATACCAGGATCCTGGAGGCCTAGTTGGTTTGCGACAGTCTTTCCCAAAATGGCTTTCGGAGTTGCAGTTCCTACAGCGAAAGTTGTTGGCCTCCGACGTCTCCGGTGTCGACTTCTTCGTAGCAGCATCTGCTCAGGATCAGCGAATCTTTGGATGCGGGCTTGATCACGCAAGCTCGCCGATGGGATTCCGTCGAGCAGATGCTCGAATAGCTCCTCCGTGTCCAAGTTGATGGTTTGGTTTGAAACTCTCATCCCTGTTCCATTTGCGTTGCTCAAATTTCCGACGTCGCTCTGATTTAGACGCTGTTTCACCAAATGCAACGATCAGTTGCTCGCACAGCCGTTCAAACGAATCCAGCATCCGTGTAGGGTTGGCATGTAGCCAGCGTTGTGCGTTGCTCTCAGTTTGTTGACGAGCAACATCCGCAGACAGTCGCTGTCAAGATTATAATCTGACCGAGGTTCCTGAGATGATCCACCCAGGAGCGCAAATGTTGCTTTCGAAATCGATGGCCGCTTCCTTGGCAAATTAGAGTGATCCAGCCCTGGTATGGGGTCTGTCTTCCTGGGTGCCGTCAGTACTGCAGCTTGGCCGATGATGTTGTTGCTGGCTTGCGGCGCCTTGTTGTTGCGTCTGTATGGCGACGCGCGTCTCTCTTTGTTGTTGCATTTGAATTCCTTGAATGGTGTCGAGTTCTTCAATTTGTCGTTGTTGAGCTGCGCCACGAGCTTCTGCTTGTTGCAACGCATTTTCCTGTGAAATGAGTGTTGCCCGCAGTTGTGTGATGATTCCGAGAAGTTCACGGTGGTCTGGAACACTTTCGGAATCACTTTCCTGCGACGATTGTGTTGCATTTCCCGTCTTGGTGTTGACCTGTTGGGATCCGGTGCTGGAGGTACCGATCTGACCCTCTCGAATTATCTAGCAGGCATCCTCTTCTGGAAATTGAACTCGTTGCTCAGGTGGTATTTGCCCTAGACGTGCCATCAATTTGGTTTTAACACCTTGGGTTGGCAGCCCCAACACTGATAGCCACCTTTTCAGCTGGATGACCGAAAAACCGTTTAAATTAACTTTGTGATCCCACTTCTGAATTTGTGGAAGGTTAAACCGATCGTTTTATTTTGTTCTTCTTTATTTCACTTTTCCCGTTTCACATGATCTTTACATCTGCCTAACATACATAGGTTTATATAATATAGGCTTAACATACATGGAATTAACATACATTATTCTCTGCTAGCCTACTACAAAATTGAGCTAATTTCGATGTACCAAGTAGAAATACTAGACCTTATAGACCTTTAGTGTTACATCACTTTGCACTTTGCACCTCCTTTGTATGAACCTTTTAGAGTATTGTGTGCAAATTATAGTGATTTGTACACATTAATCTCTAACGTAGATAGTCTTCTAAATCGCACCAAATATATTAAGATGTTGCAATTTAAAAATATAAAATTGACTTACGATGCGTCCGGGAATATGAAAACCTTTATATTTTTATTACTTTTTAATGGACTTAGCCAGCGGTGAAATTCATCAGCCCAATTCATGACCGTACTCTTTGGGCAAAGTACCATTATTTTGTAAGTATTTAATTCCTCATAAGATATCACCGTATGTAGTAGGGTAATTAACTACAAATACAAAACAAATATCAACATATATATTTACATATTTATTAGATTAAGTATATATTTTTTACCTGAAGTGTCTTTCCTAGACCCATGCAATGGGCTAATATGCAACCCGATCCTGAATTCTTATTATTCTGATCTGTGCCACCATAACATGAATCGTACATAAATTTAACACCGTCTTTTTGATGAGGCTTTAATTGCTTGACTATATCTTCATCAACTGCAACAAAAGTTTTAGTGATTTCAATATAATCTAGTATTAGATCATTTTTATTTATAATTGAAGTACGGGTTTTAAGGGCTTTTGAAAGTTCCGAATTTTTTTTTTCCAGTCTTCGAATTCTTTCGCTTTCATTTTTCTGTGCTGCTCTTGTCTCAATAGCCAGTTGGTCGATTCGAAGCATCGGTTTGATAAACCTGGATTGTTTAACTTTATGTTCAATGTCTGAATCATCACTTTCAGAACTGAGTATGATTGATGGGTTCAGTTCAGAACAAGAGTAAATCTTTGACGTCTTCAGACTGCCCCTGTTTATAAAAGAATCTGAGTTAAAACTAACTTCGGCTTTGAATGCATTGAAGTTTTTGTTGTTTTGGACGGAACCAGACAGATTTTTATCAGATTCAAAAGCATGAAGAAATTTATCAACAATATTTGTCATGAAATCATCTACATCAGATGCTGAATCTTTTGAATTTCCGTAGTTGCTTTTATTTGATAACCCAGAGTCACTATTTGAGTCTTTTAAAAGTTGAAGCTTAATTTCTTCATTGTAGCGTGATATAAATTCGTCTTCCGTTATTGTATTTTTTTCCATCTAAAAATAAATAATAAAAAATATCAACTTTATTAATTAGTATGTCAAACTTATGAACGATTTTGTTACTAATTTTCAGGATCTAGAATGGAACTTACATCAAAGATCGGTTCACTTTCATTTGTATCCAATTCATCTTCTAAGGCAGGAACTGATTTGACTTCACTTCTCTCCAACGATTTATCGAAAATCTTGTTTTTAGGCTGAATTTGAGTTTTTTGGCGTTTGCGCTTGCTTAGCACGTTTAAATTTATCAATCTAAATTTAAAGAATGAGTTTCAATGGTGAGTAAAACTGTTCGTATTTTATTGCAAAATTAAAAAAAAATAAAAAACATGTGGTGTTCTATTCTAATCTCTAATGAGTATATTTTCCATTTTTTTCAGTTTTAAAAAGAACATTTATTTAAAACAAGAAAGGAAGCTAACTTCGACACACCGAAGTTTATATACCCTTGCAGATAGAACTTTATTCACTAGGAATTTATACAATATAATTTATATAAACTTATGTTAAAAAACCTGAAGTAATACCTGCTTTCATTTCATTCAACTATTTTTATAATATTTACAGTTTACATTCACAGTTTTGGATTTTCATCTATGTATATAGAACTATCGTTTGTATGGCAGCTATGTATAGTACTCTGATTATCATAAATGTTCGGAGCAGACCGCTAGCGCCTAAGCGTCGTTAATAGAGCCTATTGAACATATACATATATACCTATGCATATATAGCATAGACGTGCGTGTGCCAAAACTCCGCTGTTTCGAGGCCGACAATTACAATAACAACATTGTGGAGGTTCCGTTGCATCTCGGTGACGCTGATTAACCCCTAATTTGCGCGGTGGAAACTAAACGGGTTCCTATATACCGAAGCGGTCAGACATTTTCCTTTTATTAATTCTTTTCGCGTGAGAAAATAAAGATGTCTAATACGGAAAATTCGGTTCAGCATCAAAATGAGCCGTCAAGTGACGTGGACTTCTACCGAGCCAAGGCCCAATCCCTTTTGCGGCAATTGAGCTCGATGAATTATTACATAAATCCGGAGACTGTAGATCAGTTTGATCAGTTCTGATTTACTGGCGCGACTGGAGTGGATTAATTCATAAAATTTGGCCTTTGATTCCGCACAGACTTCGCTGGAAAAATTGGACTTTTCGGAGATAGCAAGCGACCATCGGATTGAGTTCTCCACGGCGTTCATGGATGTGAAGGCGAAGATAAATCGAGGTTTAGCGGCGCTTCGCAAATCTCAATTGCCGGCTGCTACCGCTGCAAATTCAACTTTCATAGACAATTTTAATCATCCGGATCTTTCTTTCCGATCTAGGAAGCCTCGGTTGCCAATTTTGAAGATAGCTCGGTTCCATGGATCCTACTCTGATTGGCCGGACTTTATTGCAACGTTCAGCACAGTCATCGGAAACGACGAAGAGCTAAGTGATATTGAAAAATTACAATATCTAAGGTCAAGTTTAGGTGGTGTGGCTCTAGAGACCATACGTTCGCTTGAGCCCTCGAATGCCAATTATAAAAATGCTTTGGATTTACTTACAAATCGATTCGATAATAAAGTTCTACATTTTCAGGCACACGTACAGGCAATATTTGGGTTAAAAGGTGTCGAGGAGGGATCAGCCAAGGGTCTTCGGGAGTTAAGCGATTGCATGAATTCGCATCTGCGAGCAATCCGTACCCTGGCCACTGCGCAACAAATCTTGGACGGATTGCTGATTCACATAGTAGCACGGAAGCTCGATCAGAGGACGCGGGAAAAATGGGAAGAGGATTTGTCCATCAACAATCTAGCTACGTGGGATTCTATGGAGTCGTTCTTGCAAAGGAGGTGTAGGATCTTCCCCTATGTACGTTTTGTGATGCGAGGGATCATTATTTGCCAAAGTGCTCTCGATTTCTAAATTTGAGTCCGAATCTTCGATTTAGAGAAGCAAAGAAGTTGCACCTGTGCCTCAACTGTTTGCGCAAGGGGCATAGGTTGCAGCACTGCAAGTCAACGCACTGCAGATACTGTCATATGAAGCACCACTCATTGTTGCATTTTAATCAGGACCCATATGTACCATCCACCGCCTCATCTCTATCATCCGATCCATTTCCCAACTCTCAGCCATCAACATCATTTTCATCAGCATTGGCATCATCACATTCATCATCGCATTCATCATCGCATTCATCATCGCATTCATCATCCCAACCTAATCACCGTTCATCGAACCCTCCACCAAGCCCCACAGATATTTTGCCTGTTGATTACGTGTTGCTTCCAACCGCGATCATATATTTGAGAAACAAGGCTGGAGAATTTATGCCTTGCCGAGCAATCTTGGACTCGGTGTCTCAGATAAATTTCATAACGTCTCGTCTAGCGAATCAACTTAATTTGAATTGTCGAAAGTCGCATACCCTAGTCGCTGGGATTGGGGAATCCTCTTTGAATTCTGATAAGGCAGTCGACATTCTAGCGCAATCCCGGGATGCAATCTATCGTGCCTCATTCTCCGCGGTCGTGACTAATAGTATCACTGATTAGCAGCCACATTTCGATATAAACGCAGTATCATGGAAAATTCCGGAAAATATTTCGCTTGCTGATCCTCACTTCAATCGATCAGATCGAATAGATCTCATAATTGGTGCTGGACTCTTCTTTAAAATAATGGCTACGGGACAAATTCATTTGGATAGCGCGTTGCCAACCCTTCAGAACACCAAACTTGGGTGGATCGTGTCTGGAGAGCTGTCGAGTGCGTCAACTCCTCAGTCTGTCCCAGCTGCCGTCGTCAAGGATCCTACGAATCATTTTGATGGTGGCACACTTGCTGCCGTAGGATGGCCAGCTGCCTTCTTGACCCCATTTCGGAAAAGTTGTTGGCCAATTGGAGGCCACAAAATCGCAAATGCGTATCAAGCCGTTCTGCCCCACGATGCCGATGAAGTTGGAACAGTACCTCTTCCAACAGGGGGAGTATGTTCGGAGCAGACCGCTAGCGCCTAATCATGCGCGCATGGGTGTATGGCTGCACCTGCTGCGCTCTTAGCTATTCTCTTTGTTTATCTATTTCTCTCTCTCTTCTTCTTCTGTCGCCTTATCTATGCTAAGCTACATTTTAAGATTATATATGTTGAAGTCAATAATTCGATCGGGAGTTGCAGCTCCGACCAGAGAAGTGAACGAAAATATACACAGCATTTAATTAACCTATTCGTGCGTTGTAATTATTGCTTAAGGGTGCCAATTCGTTCTCTTCCCCATAAAAAAATAAAATTAAAACCAAAATTCGAAAAATTAAATACCGGTGTGCTTTTAGGTTATTTGCTTGCATTTGAACTAAGTGGGTATATATTAAGGTTTTTAGTTTGGAAAGACGCTAGATATTAGTGTGTACAGCACATTCCATATCACCATGGATGAGGTTGTGCATAAAGGTTATGCTCAGCATAGTTCTACTGTTTCCTTAGGAATGTAAGTTAATTAGGAGGAGGCAATTAGAATTGGAAAGGTAATCTTTCGTTTGCATCCCAATTAAAACCACGAATAAGCAACAAGTTTTTTTGAACCGATTCGATGCGTTTATTATGGACGCTGCACTGAGGGCTCCAAACGCACTAAAGAAGTATATAAGGATTTAGTAACATAGGGGTCATTGAAATCCTTCGACTACCGTTTAATAAATCCAAGCACACCCCTGGCTCTATTCACCATAGGCGAAATATGATCAATAACGTCAAGTTTTGGGTCCAAGCGGACGCCCAAATCATCAACAGAATTAATTCTTTTCCAAAGAGCAGCAGTTCAGCGTGTAAGTAGCAAGCTAAGGAACGATACGAGAGAATAGCTTGCATTTCGAGCCATTTAAGTTTAATAAGATCTGTTCGTAAATCTGACTGGCAGCCGACGTCCTTGTATTGCACGCAAAGCTTGACGTCATCCGCCTACATAAGCACTCTGGAGTTAGTCAGAACTTTGAGCAGGTCATTTATAAATAATGTAAACAAAAAGGGTCCCAAATGGCCCAATGGGGAGGTCGCAGTAAATGGCCTTAACAACATCTACGTTTACTACCTCGTTTATCGGTGGACTCGACCGTGTTATCCGATCATTCCTATGGCAGCTATATGATATAGTCGTCCGATCTGGTCCGTTCTGACATATATACGAGTGAGAGAATATAGACGGCTAACTACAAAGTTTCATTCAGATAGCTTCAAAACTGAGAGACTAGTTTGCGTAGAAATGGACAGACGGACAGAAGGACAGTCGGACAGACGGACATGGCTAGATCGACTTGGCTATTGATCCTGATCAAGAATATATGTATATACTTTATATGGTCGGGGCCGTCAGCCGATAGGGTGCACAGGGGGATAAACGGATGACTGCGTCATCTGCCGTAACTGTGTACACCATCGGTAGTGCGACTATACTCTCCAAGCGAGGGCGGCTGGAAGCAGGTCCCCAGTCGAGGCCCGACCGGGGATGCTGACCAATTGTAGTCGGGCGGACCTAGGCAGTCTTTAATTAGCCTCCCCTCAAGTCAGGTGTGTGATGCGACCCGTGCACACTGACTTTCAGGTTCGCAGCTGAGGGGTTAAGCCAGCTGTGTCTGCACGGAGCCTTCCCAGGGCCGGGCAACCCTGGGTCGTAAGTGGCCTTGCCGCAGTTTTGGGGCGAAGCTGCGGTCGACCTTCTTCAAAGCCCCAAACCCCCTCTGGCCCGCTGCGCTTGCCAGGTCGAGCAAAGCGGGCGTTTATGAAATGAAAATGACTTCAAAAAACCGAGCTTCGGAACTCCCGGGAGAGGATAAACCCCAAACAATGTCAACGAAGGACGAGAAGGAGATGCAGAGGCCGAGACTGGTCGCTGCATCTCACATTGCATCGGAGACCGACGGAGACGAGTCGCAATCCGAGGGGAGAGCGAGTAGCACTCCCCAATCGAAACACACAGGTGGGGCTCAGCTGAGCACCACCTCAGATATAGCAAAAATGTCTCACCATCAGAGACGAGCGAGGGTCAACAGAGCCCGCTTCGTTCTTGGCAAGATAGCCAAGAATGAGGCTGAGGGCAAAACTGACCCTCGGGATGCCGAGGACAAGGCCAAATTCCTTGCGGAGATCGCGGAATTTGAGCAATACAAAGCGGCAAACCCGGCGGCGTTCCAGCCCTCGAAGGCAAAGCGAATTCGCTCACAGGAAGTGAGCGAAAGCGCGCCTAAGAGAGCGAAG